TGGGGCCTCCGCAAAAGGCAACAAAGTTTCAATCATAGAAGCTAAATAAATCCCAGATACCTGCTTCCAGCCAGCCTCCACTGGGAGCTTTGGTGGCTGGGGGCCGTGGCCAGCAAGCAAACAGCCATCAGCCTCTCACCCAGGCTGGCCATACCCTCACGGGATGAGGGTCCCCACTGGGGGGCTTGGCCAGCTTGAAAACAGCCATCAGCCCCTCACCCAGGCTGGCCAGGCACCCCAGCAGGAACCCCCACCCTGAAGGGGCAGTGGTCAGCCTGCAGACAGCCATCAGCCCCTCACCCAGGCTGGCCACATCCTCATGGGGTAAAAGTCCCTGCTGGGGGAGTTGGCCAGCCTGCAAACAGCCATCAGCCATTCACCAAGGCTAGCCAGGCACCCAAGCAGGACACCGTTCCCTGAAGGGGGTGAGGCCAACCTGCAAACCGCCCTAAGCCCCTCACCCAGGCTGGCCAGGCACCCCAGCGGGGACACCCACCCTGAAGGGGGTGTGGCCAGTCTGAAAACAGCCCTCAGCCCCTCACCCAGGCTGGCCAGGCATCCCAGCGGGAACACCCACCCTGAAGGGGGTGTGGCCAGTCTGAAAACAGCCCTCAGCCCCTCACCCAGGCTGGCCAGGCATCCCAGCGGGACCCCCACCCTGATCCGGGACACACTTCAGGGCAAACCAGCCGGCCCCCACCCAGGCCTCTTTCCTCTATAATAAAAGGGTCATATGCAAATTGACCCTAACAGCAGAGAGACTGGGAATCACTGGTCACTATGACACACACTGACCACCAGGGGGCAGACACTCAGTGCAGGAGCTGCCCCCTGGTGGTCAGTGTGCTCCCACAGGGGGAGTTCTGCTCAGCCACAAGCCAGGCTGTCAGCTGCCAGTATAGCAGTGGTGGGGAGAGCCTCTCCCACCTCCTCAGCAGCACTAAGGATGTCCGACTACAGCTAGGGCTGCTCCCGGCTGGCAAGTGGACATTCCCCGATGGCTCCCGGGCTGCCAGAGGGATGTCTGACTGCTAGATTAGACCCAATCCCCCAGGGAGTGGGCCTAAGCCAGTAAGTGGTCATTCCCCGAGGGGTTCCAGACTGTGAGAGGGTATAGGCCAGGCTGAGGGACCTCCCGAGTGCACAAATTTTTGTGCACCAGGCCACTAGTTTCATAATAAAAGAGAAGAAAATAAATTCCCTATTTAGGTTGAGGGGTGCCATTACTCCAGAGAGGACAGACCCTGTCCCAGGCAGTGTTTCTGGGACAAGGGGGCAGCTGAGATGATAAAGCCTGAGGCCAAGTACCGAGGGCTGGAAGGGGGGGGTCCTTTGTGGGATGAGAAGGGAGGCACCTACCATCTTCAGCGATGTCTCCAGGAGCTCCTCCTCCGACTTCTGGCGCAGGCAGTGCACCATGACCGCCGAGGTGGTGGTTTGACAGCCGGCAAAGGTAGCGATTTGCTGCAGAAATCACAGGGGACAGCAGCATTCAAGAGCCATGTCCCTCCTGTCAACCAGTCGATGTTCCATCCCAACCTCAACTTCTAAAGGGGGCGGGGGATGGGGGTTGCAGACATTTCTCTGGACCAGCAGGCGTGGGCCCTGGGCCTCAGACATGCCAATTCCGCCAACTCTGTGCCAGTTTCCTTCTCTCTCTTAAAATGGGCCAAAGGCTCTCAAAGCCGGATGTCTGCAGAAGGGCAGCATAGAGTGGACTTTAGGGCATGGCGTCCAGAATCCCACTGTCTGGTTTCAAATCTCGGCTCATCCTCTTACTAGCCTTTGGCCCCTATCTAGTGAATCGTGCACAGTGCGGCCAGAGGAGAAGTTGAAACAGAGAGAAGAAAGCAGGCTCTTCCATGGCGGGCCGTGGAGAGCGTACATTAAGGGGAGCTTGGGGGAAGGTGCTATGAAGAATAAAAAGTCTTAAATTCCCTTCATTAAATCCCTCCTTTCCTGACTTAAGCCTGGCCAAGTGGACTTCTGTTGTTTACAACCAAAGAGTTCTAGAAAATTCTCGCCCTCTTCGTTTCCTCCCCTCCTCTCTACCAGCCAGCCCCTTTCAGCCTGGCGGCTGCCCCCACTGAGCCACGAAACCACTCTCACAGACCAACTGAAACACTCCCACCCCAGACTCCTGTGTGCACTCATCAGCAAAGCCCCATCTGCTGCGTGTTACACTCCCTTCCTTGGATCCCTAACAGTCTCCAGATAAAGACAAAGTTCTCCTTGGGGTCCCTGGCAGCAGGGTCCCTGCCAATGTCCCCAACCTCAGCTCACTCCAGGTTCCCTCTGCTCATACTGCTCAGGCCTCATCAAGCTCCCCCCCCCCCCCCCCCCCCCCACCCCCCTGCCTCTCTCTGACACTTTCTCCTGCCACAGGACATTTGCAGACATTGCTCCTGCTTCCTCCGACATTCATATCTCACCAAGCAGGTTACTGCTCATCCTGAGGATTGCACATTAGTGATCACTTTCTTCAGGGACCCTTTCCCCCTACACCTGGACTAAGGGCTCCTTCTGAACTCTGTCATGATGTTAAGTACCTCTCCTTCCTGCTCCTACCATGGCTGACATTGTATAACTGTGAGAGTATGTAGTTGTTAACCCGTCTCCTCCATTAGAATGGAAGCCGCACAAGGCTGCTAGGTGTCTGGCTGTATCAAAATTATTTGTTTCCCGGCCAGCATGACTCAGTGTTTGAGCGTCCACCTATGAACCAGGAGGACACAAGCCAGGGGGGCAGGCTCGATCCCTAGTGTGGGGCCTGCAGAAGGTAGCCAATCAATGATTCTCTATCATCATTGATGTTTCCATCTCTCTCTATCTCTCTCTCTTCATCTCTCACATCAATAAAAAATATGTATATTTAAAAAAATTATTTGTTGAGGCAACAAATGAATTGACGAATAAATTCTCCAGGAACCCAGCCTAGTCACAAGGCCCCTCGGGGAGAAACCACTCCAGGCCCATATGTGGCCAGGGGCGGGGTCCCCAGAACTCAGGCCCTCCGAGAGATGAGACCTGGTGACAGTCCACTCCCCACGCTCGGCCCAGCAGCCCACCGTG